ATTTTTAAAAAGAAGCTTTTTCTTCTCAAGAAAATAGCAGCTAATAAATATAAATAATGGTGAAATTAGGCTATTACCACTTGCTACCCTGGTGAAATAGTTAACCCAGGCAAGACTTGATGGATGTTAATGTCACTAGTAAAATCCTAAGAAACAAAAAGAACATAATTACCACCCCACAGACATTTCACTTAACTGCAAAAGAAAGTCAAATGTATCTTTATACTGAAGAGATGTGATCAAACTAAATGTCACCTATAGAGGAACAATGTAACATCACTCTCTAACTTGATGCAATATGAAATACACAGGTTTACTTTCAAAATATTCTCGCCAAGAGATCTGGCCCAAAGTCTGTAGGCATTTAGATCCTTTTTTGGGGGGGGGGATATAATCTTGCTAGGTTATGGAGGCTGGTTTAGGACTCATGGAAACCCTCTGCTGCAGCCTCCCAAGTACCAGGATTACAGGAGTGCATCACCACATCTGACAAAAAGAACCTATTTTTAAAGAAGAAACACCAGATTGGTAGTTCATTCCTATTATTCTTGCTCTCAGGAGGCTGAGGCCAGAAGATCACTATGAATTTGAGGCCAGCCTGGTTTAAATAGTGAGTTCAAGATCAACCTGAAATACATAGCGAGACCCTGTCTCCAAAAAAAATAATATATTTTTTTAAGAAAACAGCTAGATGAAGGGCTGGCAAGATAACTCAGTGGACTAAGTGCCTTCTTAGACAAGCGCAGGGTCCAAAGTTCCATCCCCTTCACCACATGCCACGCCAGCCCTGCCTCCGGGCAGATTGAGCCGGCCACCAAGACCAGGTAGGTGTGGTGGCCCATGCCTATAATCCCAGCACTGGAGAGGCTCAAAATAGGAGGATCACCAGCAGTCCAAGCTCTGTAGCAAGACCCTGTACCAAATACATTTTTTTAAGTATAAAAATAAAAAAAAAAAAAACCAGCTAACTGGATGTGGTAGCACATGCCTGTAATCCCAGCACTCAAGAGATTGTCAGGAGGATCGCTTCGAGTTCAAGGCCAGGTGAGGATACAGAGTGAACTCAACAGGAGGCTGAGCTGCACAGTGAAATCCTGCCTCAAAAAGACACAACATATAAACCAACTAAAAATTAGCAGCAAATGCAATGAGTGAACACAGAGTAGCTCTCAATTTGGGGAAAGAAAATAGCTTTAAAGATCATTCTTAGTGCAAGTCATACATTTTGAAATGTGGAATATAAAAATGGTATTTGATGATTATTAGTTATCAATTACTGTGTGACACATTGCCTCAAACTTAGTGCCTTAAAACACCAAGCAGCTATCATTGCAGGTTCTAGGGGTCGGGGATCGGGCCCTGACCCAGTTGTGTGACTGTGGGCCATGTTCTCTCCTGAAGGTGCACTGAGCTGTGAGCCAGGACACAGCCATCCCAAGGCTGAAATGACAGAGGGTTCCCTCTGCAGCTCACTTGCGCGGTGACTGGCTGGCCTCAGGTCCCTGCTACATAGGCCTCATAACAGGTTGCCGGAGTGTCCCCATCACATGAAAGCCAGCACGTCTTTCCCCCGGGTCACCTCACAGCATGGCCAACACAAGTGACTCTAGAGAAACTAAAACAGCATGCTAAAAAGAAGCCATAGTCTGTATCCTCATGTAAGCGGTCCCCTCACCTCTAAGTATTCTATTCGCTTGAACTAATGCCACACTCAAAAGAGGGGAATTAAACTCTATTCTCAAGAGAAGGAGATCAAAAAAAAAAACATGTGGGTTTGCTCAGTGATAGAAGCTAAACACAATATCTGCAACCTATTTTTTCAGATCTGCAAAAAAAAAAATATATATATATATACATATATCTGTGTGTTTGTGTATCCATGTGCGTGTGTGTGTGTGTGTGTGTGTGTGTGTGTGTGTGTGTGAAGCAAATAGGAAATGCTAACAAATGATGTTCTGGGAAGATGAAGATGGATGTACCTTATCACAGCCCTTCACTCTCTGTTTATATTATGGACTCAATTGTGTTCCTTGAAAACTCATACAGGAAAGCCCTGATGCCAACACAATGGTGTTTCAAGTCAGGGCCCCTGAGAAGTGATTCGACTTAGAGGAGGTCATCAGGGCCCATGCGATGAGATGAGTGCCCTCCTAGGAGACACCAGAGAGCTTGATCTCTCTGTCTCTGTCTCTCTGTCTCTGTCTTTCTGTCTCTGTCTGTCTGTCTGTGTCTCCTCTCTCTCTCTCTCTCTCTCTCTCTCT